GGAAAGAAAAAAAATTCAAATTGCTAAATTATGTTGACGTTTATGAGAAAATCCAACGTCATTTATGAGTGATGAAACTTTATTTTAATTAATTTTCGTGGATTAGGTTCTCCAGGACATTTGTTTGTATCCTAAAATCTGTTGGGATTCTTAATTTTTAGTTTATATGGCTTACAAACTTAAGTTTCTTTTTATAATTACAATTATTTTTTATTAAAAATAGAAAAATGTAAGGACGTTTTAGTCTATTCATTCTTTTACAAAACCATTCTTCTTAATATAGATTACTGTAGCTCTTTCATATCGCCAATTATAATGTAGAAGCTTCAAATAAAAGAAAGTTCAGTCTTTCTACCTAAGCAAGTAAGCATGTTCCCATGTGTTCCCTTACTTCTCTATTTCCTTGTCCTCAAAGAGAGAACACATTGAAACTTAGAAGTTTTTTCTATCTCAATTTAAAACCCGTACGCCACTCATCTCCCAGGCCCCAGCAACCTAATCATGTTATAAAATCATAAAAAATCCAAGAGAGGAATAAATTTAAATTAAAAAAAAAAAATGCAGCAAATAAGTTTCTCCAAATTAAATAAATGAAAACAAAAACACTAGAATTTTCTTCTGTCCAACTATGATCAAATATATCTTCTTCCCCCACCATGGATCAAGCAGAACAAGCATACACATAACGGCCTTAGATGGGACGCTTAACGTGAACTCATTGTTCACTTTGGCCGTCTTCCTAGGCATCTTCATCAACCCGGCGGACCCCACAAGCAGCCTTGTGGGGACAACTGCCTGCGCCGCAAGCTCGACTGTGGCCAAGCAATTTGTGGAGTTTCACGTCTACTCATTCAGCTCCTTCCTCTTTTCCAGCCTCATTGCATCTTGCCTTAAGCTGGCCATAAGGACCGATGATGGGATTCATAGACCCAGGTTTGGTATACATGTGATGTTCTTGGTCGATTTATAGGAAAAATAAATACTAGCTAGTTATATCTCTCGATTGTAAATATTCCTTTTGGCATTTGGTTATTTTTCACTATATGGCTTTTGCAGTATCTCAAAAGGGATTCGTGGGCTCTGCCGTGCACATTTAAACAGTAGTTATCTACGGTTCAATATTGGTTGTTGGATGTATTCAAAAGACATGTGACGGCCAAAATTTTATCCACACTAAAATTAGATTAAATAAAATAAAACAAATTGAAAATACATCTGCACAATACACTTACGCGGCTACACCTGAACAATTTCCATCTTGTTTTCTCGACGAAAACGAGTAATTCACGATTTTTATTTTATTTTATTTTATTTTATTATTTTTTTTGTTAGAATGCTTAAGTTGGCATTTGGATATTTTTCTCAAATCTTTCCCATATTGATTTTGCCTCTTCTGATTTTCGCCATTTTTTTTCTTTCAAATTAGAGATTTCCTTGTATTTGTTTTCATCCAATTTTTTTCCTCAGGTTTTTAAGCTTTCTTATCCCCCCCTATATATTAATTGAGAACGTGCTGAGCCTATGTGGCAGGCCCGCATGCTTCGGGATCCTATGTGGCAAAAATACATGCTTCGTTATTAGGTTTGGGTAGATTTAGTTTACTTCTAATCCAAATATATTTATGTTCGGATTATCTATAATATGTTGATTAGGGGTGGGCGCCGGCCAGGACGGTGCTGGATTTGACTTGTCCGGATACCCATCCCACTTTTATGAATACGTCCATGAACGGTCCGGGATGAGGCACCGTCCCTACCCATGTAATACGTGGGTGTTGTACTAGTGTTCTTTGATGGCGGATTGAAGTCTCTTTCTTTTCTGCTTTGGAGAATTCTTTATTTGTTTTAATAAAAAAATTGTAAGAAAAAATAAGAAGATTAACGCCCGTTAGATAATTGATCCTATAATCCAACGGCCACTATAAAACACAGCAGAGCTTGCTGTAATATTATTCACAGCAGAGCCCCCGAATCCTCTCAAAAGTAGTGTTTGTAGCTCTGAATAAGCCAGAATGAAAAATTGGTTATTTTTTGAAAAAGGTCCAACATATAGAATGTCATCAAGAATGGTTCACTAAATTATCATTTTAATCAAAATTCATACAATAACCAACATAGTGTACTAAAAGTGACCATTATTTGTGGTCATTTTTAGTACACTACGTTAGCTATTGGATGAGTTTTGATGAAAATGGCAACTTAGTGGCCTATTTTTTATAACGTCCTATATAATAGACTTTTTTTTTTTGAAAATGACTAACATAGTATACTAAAAATGAAATTTAACCATCTGAATAATGACTATAATTTATTGTACATAGGGTGATTATTTTACTAATTCTTGTTATATGTTTCTTTTAATTGTCCATTTGTTAGTGCGGGGCACGTTAATCTGCGGGTTTTGCGAGCTGGGATTTTGGCAACGGCTTGTGGGTCAGTGGTGGGGTGTGCATTTCTAGGACTGGCTCTGGTGAACCTGATGCAGATCAAGCTGGGCAGTTTGGGTTGTTGGGGATGGCACACGTTGGGGGCTATTGGCCCACTCGTGATTTTAGTACCCGTTGCACTTCTTATTTATATATGTCTCTTGTGTTATGCTTTCACAAGATAGTTATTTTTTGGTGAAACAAATTTTGCATTTATGACATCAAGTCTTCATCTGTGTCCTTTTCTGGTGTTTAGTTGTGTTTCACTTTAGACTCCAATGATTTGAATGAATGTTGTAAGAATGTGAGGGAACATTAATATATTTCTTGTATTAACACATGAGTATATACATGTATATAAAGGCATAAGATGGGTCTCTCTTAGGTTGGGCCTAAATCTAATTCTACAATACATAGTACAACAAATATAACTAACACTCCCCCTCAAACTCAAGTGGTATAGTGGAGTTCAACGTAAGTTTGCTAAGAAGTAAACAAAAGCAACCGAGAAGGAGAGACTTCGTGAAGACATCCGTTGTTTGATTCGTAGAAGGGACTGAAATAAGTTGCACAGTCCCATAGGCAACATGTTGTCAAATGAATTGACATTCAATCTCAATATGCTTGGTACGCTAATGAAATGTATCATTATAGGACATTTGATAGCACTCTGACTGTAGAGTAGTAGACGATGACTGAGTCGCACCGAGATCAAGTAGCCGACACTACCATAATAGCTCTGGGTGGAATCAGCAAGAGCCTGGTACTCAGACTCAACACTCGATCTAGAAACTAATGTTTGCTTCTTACTACGCCAGGAGACGAGTGAATCACCCAGAAAGAAGCAGTACCCAGTAATGGAACGACAATCAGTAGGATCCAATCTGCATCAGAATAGCCGCTGAGTGTGTCAAGAAAGAACGGGTTACTTTTGAAAGCTTCTAAATTCCTCAAGTAGTCTTTCTTTTCTTAAAAACATTTGAAACTCTTGGGTACTTATAATAAAAGCTCTTTTCTTAACTCTGCGGAAAACTCATTTCCTTTTCAGTCTTAACTTAAACTTGCTCTTGAACTCTTATGGGAACTTGCTTACTCAACTTCTCATAACTCATCTCGTACTTAAAATAATAATCATGCTCATAACGTCTCAAATTCTCAAACATTCATAAAAACTCAAATTGAATCTCAATACTAAGTCTCAAGCAAATAAACTCATAATCAAGTCTCAAAGTTCATAAATAAATAAGTCATAAATGCTTAAGTAATTAACCACCCTCGCCATCGTGTCCGACACCAACTCGATCAACCTGAAATATGGGAAACAATAGGGTGAGCATCCCACTACTAAGTGAGGAAACATACTATATAATATAAGCATGAAACATGAATAACTAAAGGCACTGCTGGTCCCAACGGAAGGTTACTGCCCAACCAGAGAGGTCTCAATGGAAGGGTACTACCCAACCAAGGAGGTCTATCTCATATCTTCTTCCTCCGGCAGAAGAGTACTACCCAACTGCCGGGAGGACTGTATCATCTATTACTTCCGACGGAAGGGTACTGCCCAACTGCCGGTTGGTAATTGTATGTGGATATTTAAAATAAAATATAAATCAGTTGGTACTGTTGATATAAAGCTAGGTTAGTTGCAAAAGGATATATACAAGAAGAAGGGATAGACAACTTTAAAACCTTTTCCCTTGTTGCCAAAATAACTACAATAAGATTTCTTGTAGCACTTGCATCAATTAAACATGGGCATATCCATCAACTTGATGTCAATAATTCATTCTTGTATGAAGATGTTTATGAAGCCTCCACCAAGCTAATGTTCAAAAACTGACGATAGAGTGTGCAAACTGATACATAGTCTTTTTGGCCTAAAACATGTATCTATACAGTGGTTTAATAAACTAACTCAATGTCTACTTGCAAATGGTTTTTCCCAATCTATTGCTGATTGCTCCCTGCTTACAATGCACATTGACACTTATTCTGTTGCACTTTTAGTTTATTTAGATGAAATTATTGTCACTAGTAACTAACTATCTCAAGTAATAACAACAATCAAGAAAAACTTAGATGCATGCTTTACAATAAAAGACTTAATTAGGTCCATTAGATTCTAGGACTTAAATTTGCACATTCTGACAAAAGCATAAAAATGTGTTAGGGAAAATATGCATTAGACATACTAAGTGACACAGGTTTTTTAGGATGCAAGCATGCATAATCACCTATGGATCCTACATCGAAATTGTTGAAACCGAACATGCCACTCTCAGTGACGCTATTGAGTATAGGAAAATTGTCGGCAGACTGTTATACTTAACTATATCATGACATGACATAACATATAGTGTACAAACTGTAAGTCAGTTCATGACCACTCCAACAACACAACATTTGGCTGTTGTTCATATCTGAGGTATGTTAAAGTCACATTGGGAACAAGCATTTTCTTTCCTAGATCCTCTTCAATTTCTTTACAAGCTTTCAGTGATATATAGAGATTGGTTATCTTTTGTTGATTGAAAAAAAAGGTATTACAGGCTACTCTGTGTGTGTTTTTTTTTTTTTTTTTTTTTTTTT